AATTCTTCATATCGTGCCGTCAACCTCATTCAATAATTGTTAAATATTTTAACCAAGCCAGTCTCCGTGTTTTCCATATTTAACAATGGTAATACGTCAGACTCCGTATTTTCCATTTTTTTTTACATCTCAGGGCTGCGTATATTTTCTATAGTTTACGTGACATCAGACTTCGTTCTGTCCACATATACGAGTCGACTCGCTGTTCGTTATACTTTTCCCGTGACGTCAGATACCATGTTTTCGAGTCTGACGACGCAAGACTAGCACATAATTGACGAAATTTCTTTGTTCAGCAATGTTTATAAAGTAGCGTGCATATAATCCTCTACAGTAGATCAGTTCATGTGCAAAGCCATAGCTGTGAATTGGCGGATTCCGTTTGCACGACCCTGCAAAGCCACAATACCGAAAATGAGTGCAGTCCGCGGAAGTAAACACAATGCTGTGTTGTATTCACAGCTAAATGATTTTCAACAACATTTTGGCAAGAAACTTGCATTTACTGCCGAAATAAAGCAGGGAGATAAAGTTCTAGACATGGGATGTGGAACAGGCGAAGTCACCGCTTCTGTTGCCGAGTTGGTCGGTAAACAAACTCAAGTGGTTGGCGTAGATCCCGACATAGAGAGAATCAAAGTTGCCGTGCAACAGCAATCTGGTATTCACGAAAATATTACATTTGTACATGGAGATAGTTCGAGTAAATTTCCCCATTTCAACGAACAATATTACGACGTGCACTTTAGCAACTTTGTCCTTCAATGGTTAAATGATCGAGAAAAGGAAAAATTCATCGACATCGCGTTTAAAACCTTAAAACCTGGAGGAAAGATAGCCATTGTAAGCTACGAAGAAGACCCGGTAATTGTCAGGGAGGCTGGTAAGATAGTTCTTGAAGATATCGACAATACAAAAGAAAAGGTGCAACCTTATCTTGTCAAGAAATCGGTGATCGAAACCCTTCTTAGAAGAGCAGGTTTTGGCATACTTCACAGTAAGTATTTTCATAATCCCTACACATTTGCCACCGCAGAAGATTTCCTAGCTCTTGTTTATTGCTCAGATTATTTTGATGACACAAAAATATCTCAAAGCAGGAAAAACGATTGGGTAAAGACGTTTGTTAACAAAGATGGAACGGTCACTGTTCTCGATCCAACAATTTACCAGATCATTGGAAAAAAGCTGGACTGACATCAGCAGTCAAACAGACAGCAGTCAAACTGTGCATGGCAATAGTCATGTTTCAAACAATTGAATTCTGGTTTTATATTTGTGAGCGGATTTTAGAGTAGTGTCCAATGACTCCAATTTATTCAAGCATTTGTCATAAGACTGTTTGTCTGATTTAATAAATAATGTAGTTAATTTTTTCTGTGACAAAATACGAAACACAAAGACAATTAGTCAAGAACTATGGATTAAAATACATATTAATAAACAAATCACTCATGATTTATCATTTTTGCGGTTCATATCTTCAGTTCGGTAAATGCTACGTGAACCAAAATACCACCATTCGATTCAGTGTAACAATAGCTACTCATTTCTATCGATAGATTTAGTGAATGGCAACATTATAGCGATTTATGAGCTTTGAAAGTCAAACGAGCTCGTATATGATCAAATTACGCAATATTACTGACAAATTATAAACATAAACATACCTTTCGCCGAATATAACTTCGTCCCATTGACACGTATGCTCATTCTGGTCGTCTTGATGAATTCAGAAGTTAAAAATAACACGTATAGTGTTATTTTCAAGCTTCTGTCTTAAGAGTTCGACATTTAGTGCCGAATTTTGTATTTCTGCTCCGAATATGCGTTAATCCCAACCGGAAATACGACGAAAAACCGTCAAAACAATGCTACGCTTGTATCGCGTGACTCTGGAAATGCCAGAAATGATTCTACAGGTCAAAGTGCACCCATACGCGTGAGTTTTACGTCATCCCGGCTAAAGGGAGCTCCTTATTGGCCAAGTATTACGTAATACAAACGCGTGCTAGTAAAACCCGATACTTTAAAAATTCAAAATAAATATTTCTATTCGGCGTATACATACGAAACTTTCTACACGAAAGCGCTTGAATACAAAGAGTATTTTACACATATATCCTTTCAGGAAATGACACCAAAGTTTAGAATATATTCAACTTTTTCTAATTTTCTCGTTTGAATGTTTGGCGAAACGGTGAGTATAAATATATGATTGTTTCGGTTTGTGTAATGTTTTGACGGCACTTGACCCCCCGTTCGAAAGGTTATATTGTGAGGATTTCAATGGTGGCATTTATTTAAAAGGGGGGTAAATACTCGCCGAGATATTTACTAGAAAAATTGAATCGAAATGTAATACGAAACCGGTTGTCGGGAAAGAGTTTAATTAAAAATGATTCTAGTCTATAGTTATACGTCAACTGAGGGGTTAAGTGGTTAATTGTTATGTTGATGCGCTAACTATACTTGTCGTGAATATCTTTGTATACCATGTATGCCACTAAATTTGAAATAATTTTTAACCATCAGGAATAGTATCTTAAATATAAGATGATTGTGACAAGTGAGTGTTGTAATTAGTAGGATTATTGGTATATAGCTAAGCCAATTCATTTACCGTGACTGGCTCTGGAAATAAAAAATAAAAACCGCCAAATCTCGAACACAGGCTATCCGTAACATTCCCGAAGGATATGCTATCGTAGAGATGTATAAGTCATTGCAAAATATAATTTTGATCCTAGCCATCCGGGTGTCTACATCAACGGAGAAAATTATTGGCCTGTCAAAATCGGGGCATCCAACCACAGGCCGTATGAGTAAATTTACATGAAGACAATCCCAGCGTCCGTGCCTTTGTTAAAAAAGCCATGGCTATCAAGTACACAAAAAGCTAAAACTATAAAAAGTAAGGGACGGACCATTTGATTTTTGATGGGGGGGGGGGGGG